AACAATAGATGAAACTGAATTTGCAACTTCTCTCAATAAAGATTGTTTACTTGTTAAATGTAAGCTTGTGGAAGAACTGATCAAACCTCTGCTAAATGGAATTTATGAAAATGTTTCCTGTAATCCACATCTATATCATTCTCTAGAAGGTTTCCTGGATATGCTCAATGAACACTACAGAAATATCAAAGAGATTATGTTTATTCAAATGAAGGAGTCGGAGGTAGAAATCATTGAACCTAAACCAACACCGAAGGTTGAAAAGGTAATTTATCCAGTTTGGACTTTTATACTTCGTTTCTTGTGAACTATATGTCTTAACTTTGTCTTTTCTATATCTATATTATGATTATTTCTTTTCATCTCTAGGTTATACTTTCAGGAAGATCTCTAAACATGGCGGCTTTGTCTGTTTGGAATCGTATCTACAATCGTTTGCATGGATTTGATTCGTTTTTACCTACTGCTAACACGGATCAATCAATGTCCATCAGTGCTCAAATAGATGCTTGCATTCATGAAGCCACTAATGTTGATAATCTTGCTCTCATGTATGAAGGATGGACGGCATGGGTATGAATTTCTCCAAGTGATTCACTAATATGCTGCAATTTACACTACAAAGTTACTTTTTAATTGCTCGATCTCGAGGATCTCGTGGTAAATGGATTGATCAATTAGTACCTCTAGGTAGCTTGAGGAAATCATACCCATAATATCCATCATTTACACGCGAGAAAAACAATCAACATGCCTATTTCTTTTGATGAATAGTTGGTAAGTCTACTTTTATCAAATGTATGTTAGACAATTTAATATACTATATATATTCTGTTGGTGGGTTTATTTGTTTTGACGTCTCGGAATTAGCAACACTGAAGATGGTCATTGTTTATATGATATCCTCTCATTGTAATATAACTTCCAGGTAGTTCATAATATAATTGACCAGTTCAACCTAATTTATTGAACTGGCTTCCTTATACATTTTTAAGATTATCGATGCAATAATTAAATATAACCAAGCTGTATAATCCAGGCCACACTGTCTGTTGCCTTGCGATGATATTCATTCCTACATTAACTGTCTATAAAAAGCATAGGTCAGTGTGATTTGTACTTTCTGTCCATATTTATAAAGTCTGGATATTTACTTTTCTTGCCAGTGATAACATTAAATTAATTCGTCCTTAGTGGTGATATAGTAAAAGTTTTTACTGACATTTGTTGAAATAGATACATTTTTTCAGCGTATTTTGTTTTGTAAGGTAACGGTTGACCTACGGAAATGACATGAAACCTTAATATTGCACATACACATTGGGTCGAATCTAGTTTAATGCTCCTAGAGCAAAAATTTCAAGATATCTTTCACCCTTCCTCAGCTCAGAAACATTTAGCATCACATATACCTGATAACTTACTCTCTTGCTAGTTTGCTCTATGGTGTCATGTTTGACCCACCGGTCACCATGAGAGTAACGCGATCCTAATGGAGTTCAGTTTATGGTGGCATACTTATCTAGAGAGGTCTTATTTAACGTATTTGTACATGAAACAGGTAAATAGATCTTTTTGACATATTTAATTTACTGCACTAATCACTTGGATTTTCCGTTTGCTTTTAGCTCCGACTGACGGACTAATTAATGGTTGTAATTGTGGACTATCATTGCCAACCACTTTATCAGTACACACTACTTAAGGTCAACGTGCTTACTGTTTCAGCTAAACTCTCTTGTTCAACATCCGTAAAAACTTACGAAATTATGTTCTTATGATTTCAGCTATACAACCATAAATGTTTTGTTTTCTGTTGACTAAATCACAAATTGTAATTCGTTTTGTATACGCAGTTTCATTGTCATCATCACTTATTACGTACCTACTGTCTTTTTGTGTATTCTCTATTCACCATTGTCATTATTTACTCGTGTTCATTGTTATGTTTTTATTTTTTCTTACTTCATAAACAGTATTGTGTCAAAGCTTTACCTGGTTTGTTTTCGGTTTTTTCGAATCCAAAAAAATTAAGGTTAATGGGGCATAGCTTTACAGTTCAAATGAATGTTAATATTGCCTATCCATTTTATAGTGGACCTGAATATCGAAATATCTAATTATGAAATTAATTTAGTGTTCGAAAGGCAACCGCTACCTTATTGACGGAGACAACTGAAAAGCTGTAAAACTACATGACTTCAACTAGTTTTATTACTACTGGGATATAAGGATTCCACGTTGACTGAATAATTCAGTTGTCGATACTCTAGAGTTATTAACTTAACGATCCCGGAATTTGTTACTAAAACATTATATAAGAATAATCGCTAATTACCGAGTCAGCTTGATAAAATACTATTTCATACTTACCATATATTTTAATTACGCTTTGGAGGATTACAGTTTGATTATATTTGAAATCTATAAAAGTTGGTGAACGTGTTCTCCACTACTTGAAATACATTACATTCTATCCCATTGAACTGAAGCTTTGTTGTAATTAAAAACTAAAAGGAAAGTGACAATAAGCAGACTTACAATAGTGTTTTTCTAACGTCGGGAGTTTGTGACTAAATTGGGCTATTATTCTTTGAAAAATGGAATTTTCTTACTCATTTTCAGATGACCTATGTAGATCCATGTCGATTGATTGCTAATGTAGATTGCTGACTTCCCCCGTTGATTGTCATACACCCACCATAATGGTTGGTTGTTCATAGTGTTAAAATCTTAATAAACTAGTTGTGGCGGGGTTCAAGTTAATAATCCATATGCTCATTCCTTTGACTAAGTTTGTCAAAGTTCATTTGTAACAAATGAAAACTATCTGTGCGTGGGGAATACAAACCACACAGTGAACGGATTCAAAAGGACAGGATTTCGTCAGCCCATTGTTAATCGTTTTAATTAACCAAATTATACCAATAGAGTACTGTAAATTGTGCAATTACAGAATTCATGAAGGTGTTAGCTTGTAGTGAGGCATATATATTTGGTGCCCTCTTGTACCAATATTTATGCGTTCAAAAAAACAAGAGCTTGTAGTGGCTGGTGCTATGTCAAGCCCACTTAAGTTATTCTGGCTTCTGGACAGACCGATTTATTTTCCCCAAGTTACATTTTGATCTTGCTCATTATTCACTTATTAACCCTGACTGATTTTACATGATCGTGTGTACGTGTATCTACTATCTTCGAAGGGATTACGAAATTACCTAAAAATTAGCGAACGGAACGAAGGTTCAGCGAGAAGATAGCTAAACTATTCCAATGTGTCCCAGCCCGGTTAAATAGAGGGAGAAGTCGAGGTTAAGATTAGGGAAAGTATATTGCGTAAGCAGCCAGAAGCACACAACCGAAGCGTATATATGCTGCACAAAATGGCGTAATAAAAGTGGCAACCAACCAATGACACTTAGGGTCCTTTCAAACGGGAAATACAATCAGGATAAGGATGGGTGCGGGAATGAGAAATTCAAATTACAGAAACATGACGTTTACCAAGTAATTTCTGGGGATCTAGCATTCCCAGCAGTATCGCTTACTCTATTCGTCACATGTCTGTAACTTATTTTTGTCTGACTGTGAATATTGAGTCACACTTGATTAAATCGTATTGACTCATTCGCCACTACTGCGCGTTATTTCGCTTCGCTCTCTCTTCCCTGATTGTCTGTCCAGATCAACGATTGTGTGAAATATATGTATTCGAAATTCATTTTCGTATTTGACTGATTTAATTCTGTTATTCACTAATGCGAGTTATGCCGACGATTATATATGAGGGTAACCAAGATGTATATTTCGATAATACGATCCAATCGGAGTCAGATTTCGGGCGATAGATAGTTCATATTAACTGAAATTGAGCACACTTGATTCGATTGTGCTTAATTAGCTTCTTCTGTATGTCTTTTAACATGTTTCACACCAACATTTGTTGTTTGAGGAAGAAATGATACTGTGTCTTTTGTAGTTGTTAAAAAGGCATCAATAATGTTATGATGATTTGTGAATTCTCAGTTCCCCAATTCCGATATTCTCAAAAGTATAGTTAATATCACTGATGAAATGATTGGCGCCATATTTTAAGAGTGAATGAAAACTGTCACCAATAAATCTCTAAGAGCCAATATTTCGTAATATGCTTTTTCAAGTTTTACACCCAATAGTTTATAGATTTTGTTGAATAGTAATACACAAAGGATTTTATTTTGGTTCAAAAGAACAAGACATTAAGTTGATATATTTGATAGAAAAAATTAAAAAAATAGCCTATAGATAAACATTTCTATAGAAGCAATAATAAGCTTGCTGACAAGGGGATCTGTTCAGGAACAATTACTTAAGGTTTCGGTTGGGACCGTTGACTGGTGTTGGTAGATGGAATCGGTAGCGAAATAGTCGGAAGAAATCGTCTCGAGACCTAAAAGTTCGGAGTTTTATACAGCTCAGGGCTCTAGATAATCACCCTTAAAGTATTTCACTCTAGGATGGGAATTCGCTTAATTCACAACAACTCGAAACACTCCAATCAGATAATTTCGATTTTATTATATCCTTATAACAAACAGAACTACAACTTAGATGTTTACTTAGTTCCTACAATCGATAAATCCATCTTGTTGTTGTAAGTAGTTTTATGAATAAAATGTCCAATTTTTTAAATAATAAAAGCACATGTAATTCTTAGCATTTTAAAGAAAAATAAACCATTATAAAAGTGCTTATCAGGAATAAAAATGTCCACGTTTTGGTAATTCTTCAATTCGATTGGGAAAAAGAAAGTAAGTCAATTTAATGTAATTGGTGGAAAAATGATAATTTCAAATATATATATATATGAATTTAACTATCATGTATTATTTAATAAGTCAAATAACGGGAGAAGACGATGTGATGGTTGTGTTTTTCTGTATTCCTTCCAAAAAGTCACAATCTAGTAATGATATGGAAATGAATTACCAAATAATGTATATTCCTCAAAAAAGAACTCATCAGTTTTTTACTCGTTCTTCTGAATCTTGAAATTCTTCTGGTATTTCTAATTCGATGTTATATGGTACTGAAACAACAACCGCAATGAGAATAGTAGTAATATATATGAAGAAAAATAAACGATCTAAAACAATTGCTAAAGTACGCCATTCCATAGCTATTAAACTTTTATGAGTTGTTTCTTTCTGTCGATTAACTACTATTTTAACATATTTTTTCAGTTCTCTAACATCACGTTCAAGTGTAGTGGTTGAATTAAAACTTTCTGATTCATCATAGTTTATCATTCTGAATGGATAATTATTCATATTATTATCATTATGCATAATTTGCTGTAAAATTTCCGGTATTCGATGATTAAGTTTGATTGACGTTTTCATCATATGTGGACAGGATTTCCCAGAATATTCTTTAAGTGTTTGAAATTCATTTGAACCAGACCAGTTAGTGGTGACATTTTCGAAATATTGATCTCCACAAGCAGGTTGATTGACTGATTCACTACATTGCGGGAAAAATCCACCCCCAAAATATCTGTTTTGTTCATTTTTACATCTGTTTTGATAAGCCTGTTTGGTTTTAGCAGGAGATATTTGGGAGATAAGAGTCTTTCTGTGATATTTTGCAAAAACATTCCTTTTTGAATTCTTTACATCTGGCAATGGGATTCTTTGTCTTACTAATGTTAGTCTCCCAATCCCTTCTATTATAATCTAAAAATGAATAAGTAATAGATAAGTAGTTCAAATAAAGCTTTATGCAAATTCATGAAGGGAACTAGTTGCATGAAACTTAGTTTATTTCATTCGCTCATATTTTTATATCATGTTCTTTTCAATATCTCCTTTGAACATCCAAAGCCTAAATATTATGAAACTTAAACAGCAAAAATTGAAAGGTTTGTAGAATGAAATGAATCCATTCTATAACAAATTCTTATCAGCTTCATACAGTCTGAAATAAATTCATTTTATTCTTCAAACCTTGCTGTTGTTGCTCTGTCTAAATTTATTGAAGGATCTGATCGTGTGAAATCCTGTGAAATTATTCACTGGAAACTGGACTAATGTTCTAATTATATCATACTTCCCCCAATCCATATTTAGTTGTAAATAGTATGTAAATTATCTCTGAGTTGCTTATTTATTAATACAAATATCTAAAATAATTATCGATTTTACTTTCACTATTTTGATAACTAGTCAGAAATCAAACATTTGTCATCCCTTGGTTTGGGAGGTTTGTGGAGCTTGATTTGTGTAGATTCCTAATGGAACCCACGAAACGAATGACATCAACCTCATTGAAATATAGGATTCCTCAAAAGTACGTATTTACGTCCCCATTGGGGAATGAATTCAAGACCTCGAATCCTTGATTTGCTATAAATTACGAGGTCAACAGTTTCAACAAGTCTTTCTTACTTGTAAATATTAATTGAGCATTGGAAATAAAATTTTGGAGTTCTAATAAGAGTCCTTGAATAATCAAGTTCAGCAATGACGAGATCGAGACATTTATCGCCTATAATTTTGAGATTTTTTGTTAATTGACAAGTGGAAAATATGAACCATTTTATGCTGCTTAATGAATCGATAGTAACATGCTTTCCGCTTAGCCTAGCAGTACTGGGATGAAATCTTGTTAGGAAACTAATAGCTTTCTAGCGTTTCTTAGATTTTAATTGGTGTATAACTAACTTCAACTCGTGATGCAAAGTATCTTTATATTGATCAATTAAAAACATTGTTATTATTAACTGGTTTTTTGATTCATTTTCTGTACTGAATACATATGGAACAAAAGTGTACTTCACTTACAAAATAGAAATGAATTATTAATTACTCTTAACTTTCTGTCCGTTGGTATTGAAAAAGTAATAAACAGCTTAGTAGAAATAGAACTAACTTTACAAAAAACAATGAGAATATTCAACAGAAAAATTAAATTAAATGTAGAATATAAGTTTACATGTTAATCAGATTGGTTTTATTTTACTGAAATATGTATCCCTTTTAATGTCATTTTTGAATGAATGATGCATTAAATCATATAGATGTATGAAACACAACACTTACTCGACGTAGAAAATATGGTACTGCACCTTTACGATCACCACGAAAATAAAGATGGATTACCATGGTGGCTAAAAATGTTGATAAAGTGATCATGATCATATTTAAACAGAAAAATACACCTACAATGGAATAAATAACATTAAATTTATGTAATAATTCTAATTCAATCACAGATTTTTCAATAATCTCTTGATATCTAAAAGTGTAGATTTTACAAGAGTTCCAGTTGTTCGATTAGACAATTTATGTTAATGACTACAGATTAATAGAACTAATTATAAGAAAAATAATATCATTATAGATTATTTGATTTATATCAGTTTTATGAATCTAAATTCAATCATTATTTTATTTTCAAGTAAAATATCATATATCTTTTCAAAAAAATATCAAAATTATTTAAGTTTACTACTTAAATAACAAACTCCGTCTATAACTCTTCTAGAGTTACTGCCGGTCCCAAGCCCGGGTAAAGGAGGAGGGTTGAGCATAGGATCGTCAACCCTATCCCGTAGAAAAAAAATTTTACCAAAAAAGAACGCCAACCAGATTAAACAAATTAAACTTAAATAACAAATAAAGATGGGATTAGTATAGGATTTTCTAAAGAAAATTTTGTTTTTTCTTCATTTCGCTATGTTAAACATACTGTTTAATTTAAATTGACTTTATCTAAATGAAGTTAATTGCACACACAAATATTATAGTTAAATTATAACAAAATATAATGCTTTTCATTTTAAACCGTTCAACAATAAACAAATTGAACATTATGAATATTTAATATCTCATTAAACTATAAAGAAGATAATGAATCTATTCATATCTGAAATTAATATGTATCACTTCAATAATAACAATATGGAATTGTATATACAAACCAGTTAAGAAATATTTAAGAAACTATAACAAGCTAAATTGAACTTGATTATAGTCAGTTTCTAAGTCACTATATGTTGATGATTACAAAATCGTCTAGACTTTCAATAATTAAGATTGATTACTGTTCCTTTTCATCTATCATTGAACAATATTGATTTATAATGTGGTAACAAATTGCGAGTTAAAGTTTTTTAAAAAGTAATGAAGATACACTACTAAATGATACAGTGAATTTAAGTCAACTAAACAGAATTATTTAACTTTATAACTTCAATGAGGTATAAAAGGTAAAAGCAAATGAATATTGGTAGAACGAATCAATGATTTCGTTGTATTATTGAAATTACTTACCGATCAATGGGAAATTTTTCACGGCACTTGGTGTAGACTCAGCAAGTAGTAATAATAAGACAAAAAAAGCCACAAATATATTCATTCCTACAAAGAAATTAATCATTGTACATGAAAAATATATTGGTAAAACTTAATAAAAATCATTTCACTTTATTTTACCTTAGATTGTTAATATTAAATAGTGCTTTATCACATCCCCTGCCCAAGATCGAACTGAAAATCAAGTCTATTATCAAGCATTACTGTCTCGTTTAGTTTCACCCAGTTTAATATCTAACAAAATCATCACTCGAAGAAATCATTCACTGATAGGTATTGAAATGTACTCTACATTTGAATAGTTCGCAAGAATACTAGCAAAGCAAAAATAATTTTCATTATAGATCAACATTGCATGAACAGCCAAAAGCGACACTAAAGTCAATAAAGTTCACTAAAATGATTAAACAAACATGAACTGATTTTTGATTCTCTTCATTCACCAGATGGCTGAAATAACTCACATCCAATCGTATCTAACATCCATTTTTTATAGGGATATTATTTTTGCGTTAAGGTCACATTTTATTATCTTTAATTTAATACTGGTATGTTGAAAGCTCTACTAAGAACCACCACAAGCTCCATTCACATTATAATATCAGTATATAAAACACTGTTTAGTTTTAAAATACATTTATGCGAGTCAGAAATCATCATTTTAGCTTTGTATTATATACCAGAATAAAAAATCAGATGAGTGCTGCACTTAAAAGTTATCCTCACACTAAAATATTATTGTTTCTCCTTTTGTTAACTCACAAACTTATCTATGTTGTGTTCTGAACAATTACTATTACTATCATTATTGTTATTATTATTATTATTATTATTATTATTATTAATATTATCAGCTTTATTCAATATTATATTTTTGGTACAATACAGAATTCTCAGCGCAAAGTATTTCAACAAGTTTCCGTTTCTTTCTTCTTGGTCGGTCCTGGCGATAAATATTGAGTGATCGCCAGTCAAATGTTAGCAGTTCAGTAAATGAACATCTGAATAGTGTGCATCCTTTTCGTTGTATATTGCGAGCAACCACATTGTCTCTTGTTGAGTTTTTTGAAACTTTGACAAAGAAAGGTTGTACACTTTTCAGAAACGCAGCAGAATAGGTTATGCGATTAATAAACATAATGATATATTAAAACAAACAAAAATAGATAACTTGTTGAAATATCTAGATGGCAGGAACAGGTAGCCCAGATGCTCAAGCAGGCCGCCATTTACATAAGTAGTATCTAAAAATGATCAAATTGTACTATTTAATTTCATATAATTTCTCCTATTGACAAATCTGACTAAAGAACAATAAATATAACAGAATAACATGAACTCATTTTATTTTATGGTTTCTTATCAACCGTACTTCTCAAACAGATGTTAGATTTATCAGCCCTTTATTTAAAGTAACAGTAACATGTACAGCGAAATCTTATAATCTAAAGTATTTAAGACATCTAGAGCAGTTGTATCTGTTTCGGCCCATAAATTACTCGTCAGTCCAAGAAACTTCATACACAGACAATTATGTCTTTTGACATTTATGATTTTTGAATTATGAATAAAATATGCTTATAAGAGGAATTTTAGTTTCTTAATTGTTTAAAATTATTGGATTCGATGCATATCCCCCCATATGAATTACTATTAAACTAAATTTCATTATTTTTTTCAAATAAAAATAGATTTTAGGACTATGTAGAAACTTTCGACATTTATTTAAGTAGATGCTTTCTGCGGTACAAAAATAAAATGTTTGTGAATTATTTTGAATTAGGAAAATAGCTAGGCTTTAGCCGTGAGAAGCTCAAAATGGTAAACTAATTTTTCTTTGAAGAAGTTTCATTATCCATAGGAAAGTTTATTACATTTAATTTAAAAAATTGATAGTTAGTCAAGTAAATACATGGTATGGAGATGTGTACATCATTCTTAAAGAGATGCACCGTTCTTAGTGTTTTTTTGGGCGGGGGGGGAAGCTATAGAAACCTACTTAGATTAACTTCCAGTCTTGGTCATGAAAATAATTATGAAAAGACTCAGTAACTGTTCAATAATCAGATAATATTTATGAATAACTTTAACATCAAATTGTAAAATGATGATGTAATGTTAAGTGAAAATTCTATTCTTGTTAATATGTTTGAAACACCTGTTAAGCTGTTTATATACACCTGACAACAACAAACAACTTTATTACCAGTAATAAATTTAAACAAAATTTTTTAATGAAAACTTTAGAGAGCAATTTAAAGTAGAAGTGTCAACATTTTATCGCTTTATGATCAATTATTTGTCAAACTGAACATAAAAGTGCAAAACACAAAGTATTGCTGTGATTAGAATGAAGTTTCGGAATGTGCATAGCTTCTTATAAACTGACCTCTGTTGTAAGACTGTTGATTTATATTATCTCAGGTATACTTAGCAGTATAAATAAACTTTCATAGACCGACTTTGACCAGATTTTTGAATTACATTAAATAAACATTCGATTGAACAGTACACCCTTAGCCAAGATATTCAGCTGTCATATCCTAGTTATATATTTCCACCCACTAGTGACTGGCTAAAAGATGAGTTCCCGAGGTTGTAACCGACATGTTTCGGCTATGATGGGATTGATAAAGTTGTTACTGATAGAACTGGATAACATTCCGGTTACATCGTGAATTCGTTGAAGTTGAGAACGTAGACCGTTAGGTATCTGCGAAAATGTTGAAATTCAACGCACTTTTGACGGTGGCCGAATGTCCTGTGTTTGATGAAACAGCCATTCATTTCTGTTTGATCCGTTTAGCCTTTCACATTTTCGGTCCGTTAAACGTCTTAAAAAAATCTGTACACATATTTTCCCAGTAAACTTTCAAACATCATCAACATAAATAATATAAATGGATGATTATTTTCACTTAAAACACGGTAATAATTAATAATTAACTTTTAAATCCTTTAGTATGACGTTCTTCATAACAGTCCTTGAATAATGTTCTCGTTATTCGCAATCCCAAAATGTTCTGAAATGATAATCCTATGTATTTATAAATAATTGATCAAAAATGAAATTAATGGCACACTTTTTGAGAGCATATTTTTCACACCATATGATGAACAAATAGTCATTATCTTAAATCAAACACCGGCCAAACTGTTACTTGGTAATATTATCATTTATTTGCATTTATAATTTGCAAAGGAAAATGGATAAAACTTTGAAGATCTCAGTGAATGAAATCATTTTAATTTAAAATAAACGTAGATTAGTTTTAAGGTTACTCAATTGGTTATGGTAGCACAAAATGTTATTTTAAAAGGGTGCTCCAAACAACAAAAATTTGACTCAAATACAAAATATTTTGAAGAAAGGACTGGTATATTAAGTTAAACTTCGAAAAGTAAATATCTAAAGTTTGCTCAGTACTGATTTTATCTTCTATAGGGATCAGCAATGCACTAATAAAATGCTTGTCCTTCTTAGATTATGTTATAGGCAATCTACCGAATGCATATATTTCAGTCTATCTAGGTAATTCAGTAAAGTATTTCGGATTACCAATCCAAATATTACTATTTCAAATCCCTTAAAAAATATATATTTAATTTTTTTGAACTCCAAATAATACACATTTGTCCAAAAGGCTACTCACCGACTTTTATATATCATCTACCATTATGCTTTTTCTTTATCGTAATAGTAGTAAGTTATTGTCAAATCACATTTTTAAGTTATTGAACGATTAGCAAACAGTTTTTTAAACAACTTAGATCAAATGTACCTGATTTAATCAACCGATACCAGTTTCTGTGTTCGTTTAATAATTGCTATTTTTAATATAGTCCCATTCTAATCATAAGTCAAGATAGCTAACTAGTTATTACATGTAAGCAATGCTTGAAATAAAATTTAGATTTCTCTAATTAAAATATGTTTACTAGATCACAGTTTTTTCAAAGATTGATACCATTTATTTAAATGTTTCTATATTAATCCTACATTTTCGGGTTCTCGTAAACATTTACTTTACTGTGTAGACAAGATAATGCCCCTCTTATTCATTATGGTGAAAAAATCAGATGGGATTTCTGAAACTAAATATCACAACATTTATAAACAGTATGAGCACTAAATGTACTAAAGAAATATTTACCATATTAAACATAGATTATGAATGCTGAAAATGAATTAAAACTTAGATGGTTTACGGGAATATAGAAATCAATTAATCTAGAATGTGAGGTATGTGAAGATACATTTTTTTGGTTATGTCATACAAAACACTCAGTAGTTGATATATACTTATCATCAATGGAAGTGGTTTTACAAAGTCGTGAATGTAATTCAATGCTAAAGTTTGGAAAAAATACTTTTACAGCCTACATAAATATTTTTAGTGATGTCAGATTCTCTAAGCTAATTGAATTCATCAAATAATTATGAATTATCAATAGAGATTTTCAGTATTAATTTAAAACAAGTTTGATCGATGTGAATATGTACAGAAATGTTGAACACATTTTTCCGGATGAAATTGATAGTGTTTAGTCACTTTTAGAAGCCTTGTTATTTCCTTATAAGGTTTCGTTTTTGACAATAGTTCATTTTAAAAGTTGGCTTTAAAATATATAAACAAATAACGATTTTCTTATCAACCAAAAATATTTGTTTATCTAAATATGCTTTGTAATTTCAAACTGATTCGAGGTCTAAGCTTTTATAATTTATTCAGAGTGTGTTTCTTCCAAACATTTTCGAATGAACTTCTGTTGATTTGCATTAAATCACTTTTACAGTCCGAATTCGGTTGTTCTTACTCTTAGACTTTGATGAATAACAAAGTTGTTATTATATAAGTAGTGGACACTATTCCCAACACACTATTTATCACTTATAAGACTTTTAAATATGTGACTAGAACATAGTCATTTTACTGTTTTCAGAAAAACATGAACTTAAGTCAGATTTCAATGTAACTTATAATACTAAGATTATTTCGCATACATAAGTATTCATTCACTTATTTTACAGATCTGAAATACATCAATGTTTTGACTATTTACAAATCTTGATGTAATCAATAATTTTGTGCTCAGTGTAGACATATGGTGCTCATATTCATTTAACTATTTTGGTTAATAAATCTAATAATTTTCTAATAATAGTGATCTATTTCTGGTTTATGATTATGATAGTCAATCTACTAATGTAGAAAAATACTTAAATCATTTCATTTTCTGAAAATATGATCATCTGATCACCTTCAATTGTGAAGAGAGTTTGATGAAGCTAAATTAGCTAATTAATTCTTCAATAATTAGCTTTAATAAGGTAATGTTAGTTAAATTTATTAGCATACCTTCTGTACCAATAAACTACAGAAAATATAGAAAAATATGAAATATTTCAGTCAAAATTGTTGGTGTACATTACACTTAAGGACTCAAACATCTACAGCTTCTTAACCACAAATTTATTTGATTTGCAATTTGAGTTGATATATGAAAGTTAATATTTAGTCGCTTCATTAGCCTTATAACTTGGATAAAACTAACAATTTTAAGATGCTGTTTCTCAGCTCCTGATTGAATATCCGTAGGTAAATAATCCTCAAGGGATTTGAAATAGCGGTATGTAGATTTGTAGATATATATATTAGTTAATTAGTTGGTTTTTGCATTTTTTTTTCTCAACAGGACTATCTTACGTGCATTTAAAAATAATTTCTAAATCGTTTATAAATTTCATAAAGATTAAAGCTGAAATCTAATGAAAGCTAAACATTTTCTCGGTCTCATTTTTTAACAATTTGTTAATTTTCTCATATATGACTCATTTTAGTTTATCCGAATAAGCATCTCAGATAAGAACTACTTAGAATTGAAAATCACATTGAGAAAGTAATAACACTGATGATTTCCCAACGCTGAATGAAATGATTGTAAACTGCTACTCAAAAAATAAGACGCCTTTAAACAAGGTGAGAATCGATGTTTTTCTGATGAAGTCTTTTATGAAGGCTGGAGTAGATAAAGGAGCAGATTGTTGAAAACGTTTTGCGTAAGCCACCTGCGTGTTTTTTTTAATACGGGAGGCTCTATGTTTCGAAGCTGATTATTTTGCAATGCAACGCTACAGAATAACCGTATTACTACAGTTTCGACCGGTATTTATCTACCGAGTGGTAAAAAATGTTGGAGGAGCTAAGTGTTATTGGGTAGGTTTTAAAGTGACACATCCTTTTATTTAACTACGTTGTATATAACCAAAAACTGTGAATTATGTACACTGTATTTTCCTCAAAAGGATCTTAAAAAGCATGTGACTCCTAAATAAAATTAACTTGATATGACGTGTATCCTCAAAATCAACTTCATTGTCATTCAGCGAGTAATAACGATATCTGTTACTCCAGCTCAAGCTACACTTATTGAAGTAAACACATTTATGAATATCTTACAAAATAAATGTTCAGCTTCTACATATATATACAAATGTGGAAGTAAGCTGAGAACTTGCTTCGCTTCAGTTGTTATAGAATCTTGATGTTGTACGAATAAGGTTACGAGTCATTTACATTCCGACGGATATTTATTACTGTTTCTTATTAAAAGCTGACCAACTTACAGTCAGTAATTGTAACCATCAGTAAATTGGCCGTGAACTCAAACTTGAAAGTGAATATAATTCTGATAACTGAACCACCATTTTAGGGGAAATATTGTTTCCCTTATGAATTATGTTAATGTGTTCATTCTTTTGGGAAATTATATGCATGTAATTAAGTGCACTTACCAAGCATCATTTTTGCTGGAGATTCTGGAGGCAACCAAAATACAACCAATGTTAAAGATGATAACAACACACATGGAATCACTAACATGAATACATAAAAACTCGGGTTCCTTCTCAAACGTATTAAATATCGTAAAACTGGATATTCTCTTGTGATCACTTCGTTACCAACAGTTTGACTTCGACGTCGATGTTTCTTAACTGATCGAATTTGTATAGTACGGTTGACATGGTGTACTTCACGTTCTTTCTCGCCATCCGTACGCCATTCATTACTTGGTACGTAATCTGAGAAGTCTAAATATGGCATTTCTTCTATGGGAGGTGAATCTGGAATCCACCATAATATGTCCATTTGAGTTCTATCATATGTCAGGGATCCAAATTCTAACATGCATATCTATATTAATAGGAAAGAGTTATTGTTTAAATAGATAAACGGTAATATTTTTTAATGTGACAGTAAATAATCCAATAAAACTATCGTAACCACATATCAATTATATTTTGCTACATGTGCTAAACTAGTCCTATTTTGGTACTATTCCATATTTCAACTTGTTATTAATTATTAATTAGTTATCTTCTAAGCTCACATTGATCAGGAAATATAAAAATCCAGTCATGATAAACTTCTTTTTCGTATTTGCTCAGACACGAAATAACGAGCAGTTATTGAAAGTCATCGGACCAAGGTAAAAACATAATATCCACATATGAATTCCCAAGTCCCCTCACTCACACATGAATCAATATCGTAACGACTAGCTTGAAGTTTATATTTAGAAAATCAATAGAGTGACTATTTAACCACGATATGTATAGAGATGAATAACTTGACGATGACCACAGATAAAAATTTATCACTTCAGCATAAAATTTATAAAAAGAAATTATTTTGTGCTATTCTTTTATTATTATTTTATATCTCATTTTATTGATCAGAAGTTATTATTAATTAGAAAGACATCTCAGATAAAATTTATTTAATCAAAGGTATGAAACATTCTTTCCAAACAAAATCAAAATTATTCTTATTCGTATAAAATAAGTTTGAAGATGTCACTCTAAGCTTCTTAAGACTCTTTCAGTTTGTATTTCACTTCAAACAAGAGTAATATCTATAATCATTCTTAAGAGTTAATGTTTTCTTATTAGTTATATTGAAGACTGGATTCTGATCCATTTGTCCACAATTAAGAAATGTCTAATTTGTAGACTAGTGCAAAAGAGATGAAGTGACCCGGAGTATCATGACTTCATTTAAACTTAAATTATTAAAAATAAAAATCCTAATATACGATGACAAATGATATTTAATAGGATCCCCCCAAAAAAACTGCTTTTTATCAAATACTAATTTCAATTGACTTATGGTCAGAATGAAGTTTAATGTAATTTAATGAAAGACACGTTTTAGCTAACTAAATAAATGAATTTCCTGTACATGATAATAGACGATATTCATGCTGACGGTTTCGAAGTTTCAACTAACTTGTTCATGGTATAATTCACAAATCTAATTGATCAGGGCTATGTTTTTGAAAAAATAATTGTTTTCTCACACAAACAAACAACTTTTTTTATTTTTAAACTATTTAAACTTGATAATGGAAGTAAATTTATTAACAAATAAGTAGATTCTATGTACCAATAATAGTTACATGGTAGAAATGGTTTATCATAGTTTATTTTGTCTGTAAAAAATCAATGTCTATAACCTTCATATGTTGTTTTTTGAGTTTAATCACGGAGCTAATGCTGCAAGTTATGACAACGGAATACATGAATGGTATCCACATGGAATTCTCAATGTATCATTAAAAAAATCAATGCTTATTGTCCAAAGAAAGACCAATAATTGATATCAAGTGATTCGTATTGGCCAGCAGGAAATCCTAAATCGCGTCTCAAACTGTGAAACTTTGTGGCACGAGTTAGAACACCACGGGAAGCATTAATTCTCTGGAGATTATGAGTGAGATTTACTGACAAGTTCCAACTGATAATAATCCTATACCCTGGGTTCCTTACAGTCTACGTCCAACTACTTTACATTGAAGCGCCGTGCATATGATGTTGATTGACTCATATTAGTATCGTTGCACATAACGTGATAGAATTTGAACAAAATTGGACAACTATGCCCTTGGTCACTCAGTACCCAAACAGCAATCGATATAACTCCTTATGTGCTTATAGACACAATATGAGAGGATTAACAACAAACAAATTACTGGGTGAATTAGAAAATAGCTAACCTGTGTGTCAAATGGGAAATATGTGATCTCAACTTCACATGTACTTTTAAATAATGCTTGTGGAAGCCATAGTGTTTCTCCATTACTTGAGACCACAACACGAGCGTCTCTATATTCGCGCAAGCGTTCATCAGCACTAAAATGATCACAGATAAATATATAAGGCTTGAGAAGAATGAATCTACGCTAGTGTATTTCCATTCATTTCACTTAACATAAGCTAAAAGATTATGTCACATTTCAAGTTCAAACTCAAACAAAATCTTTTTACTTCGTTAACGATAATTAGTCATAATGAAAAGAGCCGATTGAAAATACTATTTACCTAGCTTGAAATCTCGGACAAGTTTAATTGTTTGCAACATATTCAAACCTTAGTTAGTCAAATAGTGAAAACCAGGAATCACTGGTAATCTGTTTCGTCCTAGTATGAGATAATTAGGCAGTGGGTATACACGACCTCGCCAACAGGAATCAAACTGTAGATCTACAGGTCTCAAGTCGACCTTTTGACCTTCAGACAATTGTGTTGTTATCCAAAGGTTTATATTCGTGAATGCAAATTATTCTAGGAATCACATTGAGTCTAGCACCAATAAACACAGAGTAGCTATTTCAGTTGAGACATAAGAAATACATATGCACATAAATTATTTATCTGAGTAAAATCTAAAACAGCATATTGAAATCACGTATTTCTCAATGAATTCTCGACTTATTAACATATAAACCAATATTCACCTGGCTATAATAATTATCTCATATTAAACAACAATAAGTATTGAAAAGAAATGCTTATTATAACAATTAGTTGAAGACCAGTAAATTCATGTTTAACACTGCAATCATCAATTAGAATTTAAATAAGTCCAATACTATAGAGAAATATATCCATTCCTATACACATTATGTAAATCTCAGCAATTTATTTATCGAATTCAAACGAAAAATTATTAGATCACATATGTGAATGATCCGAACATGATTCATCCACATGAATGAAGATAGTTTCCATGATAATATTTGTAATGTCCTGAAGCATAGAAACTGAACTTTCTCACGTATCATGACTCAGTGTAATCCACTTCTATGAAATAAATAAATAACCAAACTAAATTAACACAAGTTTATGTAACATGAAGGAATATAATAAAATATTTAAATCAATCAAAATCAAAGAATGTATAATTATATCATTATTGTCATTTAGTCAAGGTGACTCTGTTAAAGACATCACCGAGTGCATTTGTGTATATGCTGATGAATATGTGAAGTGTAAAATTGGTAATATGAAAGGTTAGAGCTAAACTTTGTGTGTTTATGTGTACGAATGGTGTGAGAAGTGAATAAAATTAAATGCAGTTGTTTGGATGAACGATTCAACTTGGATGGATTGTCAGGCTTTCCTTTCTATCAAGCCTAGAGGGATTAAACGTTATATGAAATCAATAATAAACATATCCCTCTGAGTAGTAGTAAAGATGACTTATTCAACTTTTACTTCCACCAAATTGACATTTACGCAGTAAATTAGAAATGTAACTTAACACTTTATTAATTTAATTCTTTGGTTAAAAATGTTTCAGAAATTAAAAGCTCAATACACCACAAAAAGTCAATCATGAAACAGAAGGAGTTCCATACGGCTCTTCAGTGCTTTCAGTTTTTAAATGATAATCTAACCTAAATTGATTCATCATCTCAATGAACTCTTCAAATATCAAGCACATATTATTATGTTGATGATACTGTTTGTACCATTACATACATTCGCTAAAGACCCATCACAAGGATTCAAACAGTTATTTAGATGTTACAGTAGAGAATGTAAAGAAATCAAAATGTCAATTAGTTCACTTGCAAAACTGTTTTATATAGAAATTACATTACTCACAAATTATACAGTTTAATGTCAGGAGTCCAAATCTGAGATGGAAATATACGAACTGTTTTAATATTTCCATATTCACTTTCGTTCCAACGAAGGAGGGAATCAGTCCATTTCTAGAATAATTAACAGATACTCAAGTTATAGATGTCAAACATATAATTCAGGTACTTAAAATATTATCAACAATATGTTACGACTTTCTGGGATTTTTCTGAACGTGTAAATCTTCAAACTAGAGAAAAGTATCTATAGAGTGAAATGATAAATAATTGTTCAGAAACACTTTGAATACAACTGTGAATTCTGACCACAAATTGTCGAATACATTTTTTCTACAACAACCTCACTATCTAAAATTTCATCTATAAGTCAACAATTCTCAATACTCTTCGTTCTGTTCATTTAATCGAAAGGCGTTGTTTAAATTGATTTTAAAGAAGTTTAATTTGGTTTTTTGTAGTTTAACAAGAGACACCCTTGTCTGTTTAAAATTTTGATATTTCTCATCAAAATAATTTAGGATTTATCAGAATGTATCTATAATTACAGAATAACAGAAAAGTCACTTAGACTTAATCGTATGCTCTGTCACTCACAAAGTTTAATTCCCGCTAGCGGGCTCGTGAATGCTCACTCTTAAGTCGTTCCATACTAGAAAGAAACGACCATCTAGTGCTTAGTGTTTTCAGTGGCTGTCTAACTTAGATCCGTGTGTAACTTTCATAAAGTACATGTCTGTCAGCAAATATAATGCCCACCACAATAAGTTATATGTCACAATGCATGAGTACTGGATTTTGAGCAGGTTTTGATCATTTAGATTGATGAAACTATTCAGATGCCCTAAACTCAACTACTGGAGATTTTTTAAAGTTGTAATTAAATGGTTGAGAGCTAATTACATTCAACAATAAACTTCTACATTTTATTTAATTCACTGCATTCTGAATATAGGTATCACTATCAAATATGAGCTGACTGGAAATTAGTTCTGTTAGTTATTTATTTAGTTAATAAATATTTATCAGAATATTTCACTGATTTTTTATCAAATTTTCCGTGACACAAATTAAAATTTTATTTGACAGGACTGGCTGCGTATATGAAAAAGTCAGACACAAATACTTATGATACAACCCTCGTCTCTTGACATATCAAATTGAGGTCACTAAAAAATTAGTCTCATTCTTGTTTCATAGACAATGCGATAATATCTAGTATTAGCAAGCAGACAATAGTTTTAAAGTATTCCAAATAACATATACGTTTCACTCATTATTTAATTCAAGCATTTATGAATGACACCACATCCATTTTGTGGTGAAAAGGAAAAGATTTAGTAATCCGTGAAGATAAAGGCGAAACTGTTTATTATCTCGTATGTGAATGGTTCTTCTTAAAGAGTGAGCAGCACTAACATAAGAAAAAATACAGCGATACTGAGTAACTTTACGTTGTCAATCTTAAAATATTAAAATTGTTTTAATAAACTGCTCGATCACAACTGTGATCCATGAATTACTCTAGTCATTGTACTCAACATGTCTGTAAGTAGGAGCTGTTTTGATGAGGTCACTTGCAACATCTGTATGACCTTGTAGTAAAAATGTCCAGATATTTCATATCAAATATGTTTACTTATTGTAATATAAAACAACTAACGTCTTGCTCTTCACTTTCGACTGGAAACAAATCATAAATCCATATCCCTGAATATTTTTACTTGCCCTGATAGAACTCGTCCATAATGATCAACAATAATATCATGCTAGGACGGAAGCTTAACATATATGTACATTTCACACTATTTGACTGTCAGTTTTTTTGCTATAATATAGTTTCTGACGAGATTTTGGTTACTTTACAAAGGAAATTTAGTTTAATTTGTCAACAGTCTGATACATTACACAGGTACTATTCCCTACATGTATATAGCCTAACTTCTATATCTTCGGGTGGTTAAACAACCATATTAAGGTTTGTTTTCATATTTTGTGTCAAGTGAATAGTTCTAGTAGCAGATTTTACTGATATGAATTAATCTGTAATTTATATTATGGTACTGAAAAACACAGTATTAATGAATACATCTTTTCGTCGACTTCTCGTCATGTTTTATAATGACTGTTTGGAGCGAAAGCTATTGGAGATATTGATCAAAATAAGTTTTTTTGGTGATTGACTTTGTATGCAAAAAATGTTGATTACTACTGCTTCTTTTATGATCAGTAAGTAAATACGAATAGTATTTACTTATAAACAACTCATATATATATATATATATATATATATATCGCCTTACTATAATAAAAAATAATTTTATCTATCGTAGTATATCTTGACAGTTTTGAAATGTACTTACATGCATACACCAACAGTTAGTTCGCAGAATTTGTTTATTCTCATCCAAATCCAAAATTTGGAAAAGTTGTAATCCATAACGAACATCAACTTTAATTTTACTGTCATTTACTGGTCGTCCAATTATACCAAATTGTTCATATCGATTTAATAACATTCTTATAAGATCTTTCTCCACTGATTTAGTCTTCAGTACTGTTCAATAAAATCACGAGAGGATATTAATAATATCTAGAACATCATTTACTGGATATTAACTTTTTTAAAAAGTGGAGACTATATTTTTTGGAAATCAATTAGATTATACCTTATGGTTAATTGGCTGAAGACTTTAATCAACTAGTGTTCCATCATGGGGACTGAAAGAAATGGCATGTATGTATAAAGCAAAAAAAATATATGAAGAGATCACTCGAGATAATACAAAAACAAGACATCAGTTTCAATAGATTAGTCACAGAGTGTTCATGAAAACTGAAGATAGAAATTTAATGTGTTTTGCACAGAAAACATATTGTTTGTGCTCAGAAAGTAATTCCTAGGCATGCTAGTGGTTTTATTCATGTATAAAATTACAGACTATAATAAACCATTGAATACATGGTAGTTACATATTGCATAAGGATTAAATGCTAAGTTTCATAGGGAAAATTTGCCCCAGAATATAAACAATATCTGGTCGTATATCACTACACTTTCTGACATTCTTTGACTATTCACTAAGAATGAGATACATTATGATGTCGCTTCATGGATTCTGATTTACCTCCCGATCATTTCTGACGTTCTATAAGATATAAATTGTATGCTATTGCAACACACTCATGGTTTATTTTCATAATGTATTTTAGCTTATTTATAAGTAAAGGCATGAAAAATTTTAGTGACCACCACATAACTAACTACAACTGTGTATCATATTTGTTTGGATGAAGTATAAATTATCATACATTTTCTTAAATCATCCAAAATTGTTGTATCATGTATAAGTGTAGTATCAAAATATTTCAAGTCATCTTCACTAGTTTCAAATATTATCAGAATGAAAATTTGAAGAATTAACATAAAAAGAATGAAAGAAATAAAAAAAGTAGTTAAAATAAGAAAATATAATATGAACATAAGGTTCACTCAACTTAACTATTTAATTACCCAGTTTATTTAGTTAAGTTATATGACTGTAACTATATACAGACTGAAAACAATGTTTATATTCGAATAAAATATGCAAGTTGTAAAACTTACAACGTTTATGAGGTATAGTCTTATAAAATTTCTAACTTAGTGTAAATTCATTTAGAGAGAGAGAAAGAAAGAAGGAAAGAAACTAGATCATCTACAATACCCTTTTTTTAGAATTTTCTAATTTAACAGAAAAATAAATGTAGTCTACAATAAGAATTTAAGAATTCATTGGATAAATTTTATCTGATTCTAATATGTTTAGTATTTACTGTATTTATATGAGTAGACTGTGATAAACTCAACTGAGCATATTTTTTTTCGTAAATAATCTTAAATTATGCAGAAGTTATTAAAACACGACCACACATATGTACACGTATATATACAACACTTTAGCTTTAAAATAATGTTAGAAATCACCTTCTACCCTGGTTGTATAGTTATCTAGTTGAATAGAAACATATGAGATGTGTTTCTGATTTTCCTAAACTAAATGGCTTTGATATTCCAGATATTGGCGTTTGTACGTGTTTTTGTTAACCCCCTCTCTATATCATTTTGTTAGCCTTTATTAACTATGACTGAATATCTTAGCACTAGACTATTCAATGTAAATATTTACTGTGAGTTTGCTATTTATAGCTCATGTATGACGTAAAGAATATTTTTTTTTTAACTAAATAGTCTCTAAATTGTACCAAACTAACAAACTGATTTTAATAGTTATGCTAAAATCGCTAAATGAGGGACTGAAAAGTAACTCTAAGAACCTAATAATGTCAGTGATGTTGGAACTTCGGTTTTTCACTAGTAATATTCATTCCACCACAGATTAATAAAAAAGAAATGTGAAGTTACTACTGGGTTAATTTTCAATCAGCAATAACTAATGAAAAGACTGAAGTAACTCTTTATTTTGTGACTGATTCTCTGTACAACTTTGACTGTAACTAATATTTCTGCTCTATAGATTAAGATAAAAGATGAATTTGAATACTGATAAGAAACAGAATTGTGATATATCAGTCTAAGATTCAAAATAGTCATCCTTTCTCAATAAAATTAAAGTTGACTAATTCTAATCTAGTTTTTCACTAATATAACTAATTATGAATTAATTCGTTTTGCATTGTTTGTTTTAATCTTCCCATTGATATGTTAAGACTGTAATTGTTCAGTCTCTTATCGCCACATGAATTAGTTCTAAAACTCTGGTTTCGGTAAGTAACAAAATATCTGTAACTTAGAGTGAATATGTTTTAATAAAATTATGAAATAACATCTGAATTTAATAAAAACTGTATATTAAATATGCACTAATCAATTGACTTGTGTTTCATGATACTAACAAATATCTTTTGGATAAGATGTACTTCCTATGGTTTTATTACTCTTTAGTATGTATCTAAACAAGAGTATCAAAATATACTGAAAGCTTATATATTTATGATAGCTTCATGCTTTAAACAAAAGGATACTCAGTTACATTAGTCCACACTGGTTTTAGGGGAAAAATATTAATATCATAGACATTCAAACTGAGATTGATAGTTGAATGTAAAAATACAAACTTGAACCTAGATAATTATCTGTGAGCTGTTTACAAAACAGCTCTCGAGTATAAATTATAGTGTAATATTACTGTAGTCTATGCGAGAGAAATTAAGGAATGCAAAATCATGTCTATACTAAGCATCGAAATACAACACCTTCAAGTCTTGGAACGATCACAGTACACTTATGAAATTAAATCACAACTCAGCGGTCTATATCTATAACTTCTATCGGTTTATAATATAACGTGATTCCGATTGATAAATAATTATATCTCCTTATACTTTGTTTATTCTACGATTTGTGGTTTCTCACTAGAATCTAGGCTAAAACTGGTAACTAGTGAATACATAATAATTATCAAATTTGGTAATCCATAGAGATTAGTTCATTATTATAAAAGAATGAGAACAATCTCAACTGATTATCAATGATGCCACAGTTAGTATCACTACTGGCTTAATTACTTACGCCTGTTACTCCTAATGAAGCATAGGCCACCGACCAGCACTCTCCAACCCACTCTGTTCTGGGCCTTCTTTTCTAATTCCATCCAATTCTTGTTCACTTTTCTCATGTCTATCTCCATTTCCCAGCGTGATGTGTTCTTTGATCTTCCTCTTTTACTTCGGCTTTCAGGATTCCATGTGGGGGCTTGCTTTGTGACACACTTAGGTGCTTTCCTCAATGTGTACCCTATCCACTTCCAGCGCTTATTCCTGATTTCTTCCTACTCCGGGATCTGGCTTGTTCTCTCCCACAGTACGTTGTTGCTAATAGTGTCTGGCCAACGGACCTGAAGTATTTTTCATGGACAACTGTTAATAAACACTTGTATCTTCTGGATGATGGCTTTCGTAGTTCTCCAGGTTTCCGCCACAGTAGACAGTAGAACTGTCTTGATATTTGCATTGAAAATCCTGACCTTGGTGTTGGTTGACAGTTGTTTTGAGTTCCAGATATTCTTCAATTGTAACTATGCTGCTCTTGCTTTACCGACCCGCCCTTTCACATCTGCACCAGATCCACCGTGTTCATCAATGATGCTGCCCAGATATGTAAGGGGTTTTACATTTTCCAAATCTTCTCCATCAAGTGTGATTGGATTGTTTTATGCTGTGTTATATCGGAGAATCTTGCTCTTCCCTTTGTGTATATTGAGACCTACTGCTGCTGAGGCTACTGCCACACTGTTCGTCTTCTCCTGCATTTGTTATTGCACAGTTAGTATCAGCGTTTGATAAAATCTATCTTTAATTTGAACCTTAATACTGCAAAGCTTTCATTTAAATGCTTCATTGTCAACTGATATTTTTGACCCTTTTCCATTTAATATACTTCTCCAATTAATTTGTTCTGTTTAAATCTATAACAGGCTTACTTACGAAATGTATACTTTCCACATTTTTAGACAACGAGACAGCACAAAAGTATTTCTAATTTTCTGTAAGTAATCCCATCAAAGCATTTGTTCAAATAAGTTATTCACGGAAGTTATAACTTGAGTTGTTTTTGTAAAACTGAACAATTTAAGCTATTCTAATATGTTAAATCTAATCATTCAACGTGCGAATAATCTTTAGCTCTATTTTAACATTAAAACAAAACAAAGACGATAATCTACTACGCAAAGATAGAGTATTCTGTAATATTTCTAGCGGCATGTAATACATTAAAATAGAGCAGTAATTAATGTAATTCTTGAAAATCTTAAAATTACTCTTACACTTAAACTATAGTCTCATGCTCACAACCTGATTTTCCTTTCAAGAAAAAGACGATTATCCGATTAAAGAACTAATATGTGATTGCACACTTTTTCAAGCTCTTTAATCTTTTAGCTAATTAAGAACTGCATTCATCAAACATATTCAGTCTTACTATTTATTTACTTAGTCATTTAAATCAAGCCTCATAAGTTTTTGCTACTGTTCTGATAGATATTTAAGAACATTTTATTAAATATGATGTATAACGGCAACATTCAAAACAACTGATCTATTTGATAACTTTGGAAAAGTTAGTTAGAAGACAAAGATAATCCGGACTATGTGATATATTAGTGCAATACATTTCGAACAATCTCGTCACACAATGACTTGTTAAAACAATGATATATAAAAACATAAAAGGTTAAGTTGACAAATAAAAAGCAAAGGCAAATAAAGGTGACAACGTGAAACCTTATGAAACATACCATGTTGAAAAATGTCGGCAATATATATGTTTCCTTTTACCTTTAATTTTGTATGGTCCACCTTATATTTATTCTTACTAAGTATATGTACGATCGGAATGTTCGAAATGCATTGCACTCACCTATCAAAATAGTTCTAATAAGCTTCATCTTCTTAATACAACATTAATTTCAATATTTTAAGCTTTCATTTGCAGTTTGTAACATTTCACTGAGACATATTCACTCTAACTTCTGATCAACTTCATTTTTGTAAAGGACAAGAACAAAGATTCTAGCGGAATAGCATAAATTCACTTTATTTTGTTAGTCCTCATCAGCTGTTTAAAACTTGTAATATTTAAAATCATAATTACATAATTGGTTTAAATTACTTACATGAAAGGATTTGGTTGGAAGTTCTATTGTAGTATAGGAAGGGTCTAAACAAATTTCATAGACTGAATATTATAAATATATACCTTATTTCAAAGAACAGTCTACAACATTGATTATGACAATAGTTCAAATGACCAGAAACAAGTGATTACATAATATAAATAAATATTGATAGAAATTTATACGTATATTCTACTTAACTGGGAACTTTTAATACTAAAATATCATACCATGTTAACAATTAATGAAAAACAAATGGAATATACTAATCAAATTATTGATATTTATATTTCTAAAAAGAAAAATAAATTTAATCATCGACGAAATTTAATCGTTTTGCATTTCAGAATTACTTACACGTTTCTAAGGATACAAAAAATCTTGAAAATTCACAAAGCAGCTAACTAACTTTTAAACTTTTGAAAAAAAAAGTGATTCAAATTTATAAAAAAGAGACCCTATAAAGAATCTCATCATTTTAATAAAAAGACAGTTATATATATGAGCACAACAATAAAAAAATTTAAACACACACACTACTTAATAATATTAAAATCATGAATCAATTGAAGCTAGACCACCATGAAAAACCTGGGAGCACTGGACGACCGTTTCGTCCTAGTATTGGACTCCTCAGCAGTGTGCATCTACGATCCCGCACCCCGCGAGATTTGAATACAGGACCTATCAGTCTTGCGCCAGGCGCTTAACCAACTGAACTACTGAGCCGGCATGTAATTAATAATAATAATATATTTTCAAAAAATATTGTAAATTGAAATTATTTTTAATGTTTTTACCTTTAGGATGACCTTTTGGAGCAACTGCTACAACTTGTAATAATCCATAATAAACAATAATAATAATGATAAAAAGAATCGATAAAGTAAAACAAAGATTTTGGTTCATTTCTATGAAATGTAATCTCAATATTCTTTTAAATTTAAATCAAATTTATATTTATATATACATATATGTTGATAAAAAGATGGAAAAAATACGATAAATTTATTATTATTATTATTATTATTCAAGCCTGTGTCTCTCTTCCATCTGTCTATCTATAACAAAATAGCTCTTCCAAATTTTCATAGCCACATATTCATCTATACACTTCTAAAGGGGAAAAACCATTATTGATCTAATTTATTGAATTTTAACTGGTTAAAGAAATTTTCCTAGACATATACATAAATGAATAGGATACACGTTAAAATGATAAACTATTTGACTAGAAGGTGTTGTTATTTTTATTTTAAAATGCAAAGGACTCCTTAATCTCCGTCACAAAAAAAACCAAAAAAAGAAAGCAAAACAGTAAATCATTATAAAGTGTGAAAGCAATGACTTATTTATCCATTATTTCTGTACAAAATTATTTAAGTTCTATAAGCTGACGAGTCCCAAATAGGACGAAACGCGTGTCCTGGATTCCACTGCTAACCATTATCCACCACTGCTTACAAATAGCTTGTGAATTAAGGTAATATCGAGGCATACGCACAATATGAACATATGCCAATAACAGACTGATCACTTGCAGTCTTAAACCTCAATGGGAAGATACAAGCCAAATAATACCAAGTGAATTCGAGGATTTATTTGGGTTTAGAATTATACACAAAAATATACAACATAGTAAGACAGAATGTTACAAAAGTTGTACAAAACATGAAATTACATATATTTCCCTTGAAACTAGCAATTCCACTAACTGGTATGCATAAGTTTTATTTATCATTTAAAGTGTTCTCATTTGTTTCTATACAATAAGCATTATTGACCAATGAAATCTTATTACTTATCTTCAAATCGAACTAAAATGAAACATATAATTGAAAGAACTAAATAAGATGTTTTATTGATCATAGTTTTCTACTATCGAATCGTTAAACATTATTTACTTGTTACCAACTGCCTTATACCTTAGGGATCGAAAAGTCAAAACACTCATAATATATGATATTTTCTTTATTGGCACATTTTAAATACAATTGCCAACCATTACCGATTAATTTTGTCAATTTGTGTCACTTAACTGTTTTCTTTAAAGAAAATAATTTCCGTTAATCCACTTATATTTTGTAAGTTTCTACATATGTCTTACTTTAAAAAGAAAACAAGAGCATTTTTAATAATTGGTTAATTATGCTGAGTTAGACATGATTAATAAAATGTAAGATACAAGCAGATTCATTTGAATAAAAACTATTTTTATTTAGGATTTCATAAGTACTCATTTTTAGTTGTCAAAACTCGCTACATTGTCATTGCATGAATGTCTCTGTTAAATTTATATAGAGTTATGGAAGTCTGTTGCCAATATGATTCCTATCGTCATGATATTATGTTCATTAAGATCATGAAACGATCAAAGTTATACTCGTAATGAAAACATTGAAGTACTGAACGGCCGTTTCGTCCCACTATGGTACTTTTCAGCAGTGTGCATCCACGATTCCACACGGAGTTCTTAAACACTGTACCTTTGGTCTCGCGTGAATGCTGAACCGAAATTCAACGGTATTGATGTTAATGATGGTCTAACATTGATCGGTTCGTGATCTCAATAAAAATTTAAAAATCTCCATAACCCCATATTGATATTGTGTTCGGCCTGGAAAATATTAATTCTGTTCATTTCCGCTTACAGTGATCACAGAATGTAACTCAAGTATAATCCATATCGACGTGCTATGTTCAGTGGTATAGGAGTAGGTTGGAAGAAAGCTAGGGGCGGCCAAACCAAAACATGGCACAAATCCATGAAGTCACTGACAAGTGGACTGAGTCATGTTGGTAGGTGTAGACTACCTGGTTGGGGACCGCGAGATGATAGCAACCGATGGTTAGAGACCCTGAATGACATGGCTCAAAATCGTTTGCAATGGCGCAGGTGCATCCACTCTCTGTGTTCTCCCAAACTCTAATCTTCTGAATTCTTCATGTCCCTTTTTTCCTCTTTCCAAATTTCTTTCACTGTATTGTACTCTTTAAATAACATCTCCAAACCCTAATCTTCCCGATTACTGCTTATACTCTTATTACCTCTATCACTACGGGATTTGAATCGACCACTGTATCTCTGTGCTAATGTGGTGTGGCAACTCGAACTGATGTACGTACGTACGAAGTTCTACGTTGTTACTGACTGACTGACTGGATAATCCATATCGAAATTATTATACAAATTTATTTAGACACCTAACCAATAATTTCTGTTATGTATCAATATTATCAGTAATAATGAAAATGTAGAAGATGCTTACACTGAGTTTCGGCACGTATTATTCTATCTGGTTTGAATATAACTGCGTTCAATAAGTAACAATGAAGGCAATTACGAGTATAAAACGTTCAGTCTTATTACGATATCGCGATTCAAATATAACAAATAATTTAACAAAAAACAGTGAAAATTCCCATTTTGACATTTAGTAAAGATTGAAGGAACCAATCGAGCGAAAAAATTTCTTTTCAGTTAGTCTTTCATTATGGTGCTACACTAATATATATATATATATATATATATATATATATATATATATATATATATATATATATATATATATATGATTTACAATAATGAATTAATACTCGCCAAATAGATACTTTGCGTAATAATTATATGATGAAATATCTATTATAAACTAACACTGAGTAACTGGAACAAAGTAATTATTTGAAAAGAAGGAACTAACAAAATATTTTGATGAATGGTCAGTAGTATAGTATTTAAGTAAGAATCAAGAAACGAATGTTGAGAATAAGTAAAATACAAAAAGTGGAAGAAATACGAAAATAGTTTATCAAAGTTCTTTTACAAACTCACCACTATACCGATGACTAAAGTAGCGAGAGTGGTTATACAAACTTCTTTTGGATGCAAAGGTTTGGTTTGTGAACATGGGTTGCAATGACTTTAGCAATATGCAAAAGACGAATTCGTAAACCATGCGGCGAATTTGATGAAATATGGTGGATAACTTTAAAAGCTTTATTCATTTCAACTTGATGACCTGTGTCCATCAAGTGAGCGAGAATAGGACTCTTAATCACTCTTACCTGTCCTTCGCTCAACCAAACGGATGGTATTCTGTTGTGTAATGACGGACTTGCAAAATTGTACGCCCTATATAACTGGCTCCACAGGAGCAGTTGAGTTGTTAAATACACATGGATGTGGCGAATTCAGACAATCTGTCTTTACTAACTGTTCTTATTATGGATCGCTGAAAAATTCCCACCACATTAAAACACAGATACATGAACGAAAAATATTTCTTTCAGAAACTTCTTCTATCCCTTAGGCAAAATTGTGATATCGATGAGCAGTGGAATCTAGTACCCATGTTTCGTTCTACCTAGGGCTCGATGGTTGAACTCTCTTCCACTTTAGTGTTGATGTATTTATTGAGACTGAACAATGGAATTCGGGTAAATCCAACTGACCGATCCCAAGCAGGAAAACCACGGGTCCGGGGTCCCACTACATGTCAATATCAAAAGCTTTGCCTACAAATACCTGTAACTTTATGTCAGTATCAAAGAAATCCTCTGAAGGTCGACATATACCAAAAGAGACTGATCGATTACTATCCATAACATTAATAACAGGAAGATTCAAATCCTTAAATGTGAAATACTATTGCATCTTTATCACAATTTTGACGACATTAATCATTTTTACTGTAAATATTATGATCTATGGCGTACTGTCTTCTAACTGATCAACAACCTAAGTAACCTATTCGGCAAGGCCAACACAAATAGGATTAAATTAACTTTTGGAAAATATCACAGATGAGTTTTAAGTAACAATCAGACGACTTTGATTTATATTTAGAACAAGAGCATATGATAAATTTAAACTAAGTATTCAAAATATTCCTTTTTCAAGCCTAGAAATGTTAACGAAGATATTTTGACATACGTAAAAACATTTATGACGAACTAGTTGCATACAATTGATGGTGTAAAAAAATATTAAGAATGATAATCTTTACCAACAATAATAACTAAAGTGAAGAAGTACTGACAGAAACTGTTTGTTTGACTGACTGGATGAATGAACAAAACAAGACCTAAAGGGTACATCAGTTTTAGTAGTAAAGAACACTAGATAGCTGTTCCGTATTAGTACAAGACATGCAGTCTCCTAAGATGGTATTCCAGACAATTATGTTTTGTTAATTACTTTCAAGCTACTAAGTTGACATTTAACGGCTTCAGTCGTAATATTCTTAAACATTGTATAGTTCTGTGTGATTCTGACAAACAGAATTCCCAATCAATGAGACTACTTTTTGTTTTGTTGAAAATGAACGCTAACTTCTTGTGTATTTATGCAAACTTTCAAGTAATCATTAGTTCATCCTTGCTTAGTGTGCAAGCCTAGTATACCATGATTAAAACATGAACATATGCATAGGTAGATAACAATAAAATCTTGACCATTTATCGTGATGTTTCATCAGTAATGAAACTAGATAACACTTAATGTACTGATACAGAAATAACTAAATATCTAGCCAAATGTTTCACATACCAATATGTCATCGACTTTTTAATGGGTCAGATATCTTCTTTGAACCTTCGTTCGATCAAATGAAGCATAACCTTTTTATAATACTTATAAGATTATTCTTCTAATGATGAGCGGCAAATAGAAATGATTGATAGAATGTTACGGGAATTTAAATCAATTACAAATGTGATAGCAACATATCTGTTTGTTAGCTTTTAGTGAATAGTTAGCTCAAAGAAAGATATTTTTGACTAAAAAGTAACCATACATTTAATAGAAGTTTTAAGTTATAAATAAATAAGAATTTTTAAGTGATTTATTATACCTCTGTAACTTTCAAGGACAAAATTAAATGACCATTTTTAATTTGTGATAGAAATCA